TGTTTGTTTGTTGTTGTTTTTAATTAAAGAAAGACCGCTTAAACACTCACATATGCTGTTGAAAAGCTTTATCGATTCCTTGAAAGGTGAATTAACAGCACACTAAAAATAATCCGCTGCTCTTCGTTCGTAATGTGTAGTGAGTACTTCACATTGGTTACTAAATATGCCTCATCATTTTAAGATTAACTGCGAGAAATTCGCACATGATTAGCTTCTTTTCAAGAAAGTTACGAAAATCAAGGGTATTGGACTTGCGGTGGTTGATAGGAATGATACTTTATCGATAATATAAATCATGCCTTGCGCGCCTAGTCAAATCCTTAAAATCAGCTACAGTTCATTTTCTACTCACATGACAGAAGCGTTTGACACAGTGATTGCTCCCATTCGTCTGATCGTCATGTTGACAAATTTATCGTGTTCTTCATAGACTGTAGCCGACGTTCTCTTGAAGCAAAATGTATCTAGAAATTCAAAAATATTGTTATTGCAAAACAGCCTTTCAAGACCTAGCTAGGAAACAGTCAGATTTTCCATATCCGAACCCGTYGATTGGTAAATAACAAATATGTATCTCAATGGATGCTTCTGAATGTGCCTATCACCCTTTTGACAATATTCACAGTTTTGATTCTACATGGGGTAAGATAATAAATAACCCCAAACCTTTTTAAAAAATAGGCTTCTTGAAGTTATAAAGGTTTTTCACATCATATGCTAATGCTGGCACTTTAACGTTTCCTTTTTTGTATGTATAACTTCTAGAATTATCTGATTCATATATGATCAGTTTATTTTGTAAATTAATTCTGAAAATCCCTAAGGAGATTAAACTGATGACATGTTCTGTGTTGCATTGCTCTTATGTTTGTACTAAAATGTTTTTCTCTCAAAATCACGACCAGTTTTCCAGCGGCCATCTTTGTATTCTTGAACAATTAGGTGCGTGATTGGAAAGGTTTCTAAGCCTTATCTATAAGGCACCCTATATTTCCATTGCACTTTCCAAACAACATTCGTTGTTTAAATACAAAACAAGTACTTACTATCGTCATCGTGTATGGTGACAGCGTAACTTGTCGTATCGTTGAAGGTGACTCGAGAGTCGGTAGTGATTATGAAAACGTTGAATGTTTTGTACTCTTGTTCGCCCCAAACGTCGTTAGTCACAGGAATGACAAGTTCTTTTACCGTTTCGTAGGCTGCAAACACTATATCATCACATCTTGCTTGTACTGATGGATAATCATGCGGCAGAAAGACTGAATCAGAAGTTCTGCATAGTCTGTATATGAGAGAGAGAAAATCGTACCTTAAATATTGTTAAACGTTTAATTTCTTTGCCTTTTTCTTTTCTTTTCTTTTCTTTTTTCTTTTCTTTTCTTTTTTCTTTNTTTTTTTTTTTTTTTTTTTTTTTTTTTTTTCCTTTCTTTTTTTTCTTTTCTTTAAAAAGAAAAAGAAAAGAAAATCTGAAGGCAATGTTTATAGGCAAAAACATAAAATGAAAACGCTGGAAAATAGGCCGGATCCAAGGGCGCATCTAGCCAAAATTTTAGGGGGGGGGCTAATTGAATTTAGGGGGAAGGGCTAATTGAGTTCCTTTCGTGAACACAACGGAAAACACTATAAAAAAGCACCATTTTTTTCTGCTGAAGGAGGGCTTCAACCCCCATTGCTCCCCCCTGGATCCGCCCTTGGGATCAAAACAATTGTAATTGGATACTGCATAACCCTTACCGCACAGTGTGGGTGTCTTCAAGCACACCAACACGACAAAGTCGAACTGTGTAGGACCCAACGTTTTCTTCAATGGAAGTTGAATATCCAGGACAGAAGTAAACATAGGCTGAAAAAATGATGATTTGATGATAAGCTCTGCGTAAAATGGTTTCATAACTGAAATAGAAGATATCTTCTAACACAATAGTTTTTTTTGTGTGTGCATTCAGGCTGCGTATGCTGCTTATGCGCCGCCTTTCACTGCTGTTGTCGTATGTTCGTTCTTCTATGACGGCATCCCATTTCAATAGAGGTGTTTGCGTGCTGGTTCTCTCCTCTGCTTTCGAGGTCTGTTTACTACCCACAGCATCAACTATATCCTTCTTTGGAATTTCATCTAAGGTGGACACAATGCGTGCCTTGATTTTGTGCTTAGAAAACGAGCAATACTTTATTTATTTAATTTAATTTATTGAAACAGTTTGCCAAAGGCAGGCGATTTCACAATAGAGCATTAAGTCCCCTACAAGGTGCATCATCCAAACCCAACCCATGTACTATAAAATATACTAACCAACCCTCAAAGAAACCTCTAAGAAAAAATATAAATTTAATCAATTTCCTCCATTTTTTCGTTTATGTCTTCTTATTTACCACGATTTTTGCTATCTAGTCGTCAAGGCGTAGCCGAGGGAGTCCACGAAATATTTTGACGGCTAGATGACGAAAAAAGTGTTAAATAAGAGGACATACCAAGGAAAGCTGGAGGAATTTTTTTTTTTTTTTTACCACAAAAAAATAAATAATTACTTCAAAACAAGAGTTAAATTTGAAAGAAAAACGGGATTTCAAGCGCGAGCGTGATTTGCTGACGTAATTTATCGGTATGTCCTCCTCTTTCCCTCGGCTCTAGACCAATCAGAAAGCGAAAAAATTCCCAATAGTGGTAAAAAATCGAATGAGGAAATATACTGAAAGAAAATTTTAAATTTCTGTAACTGGCATAGCTAATTCCGTGAAAGTGAAAAACTATAAATATTGATTAAAGCTTGATCTTCACCAGTGTATAAGCACAAGCATAAAACATAAGAGTGTACGTCCCCACTAGAAATTTAGTGACACAAGCATAATCACAAGCATAAGAAGAACGAAAACGTTTTGATGTTCTTAATAAACTTATGCCATGTTATGGCCGTGTCGTTAGTGAGGACCAGGGCTAAGATAAGTTACATTAACAAGAACATTTAGTTTAACTATTTGTTTACTTACTGTCATCATTTGTGATATTTATCTGTATACCAATGCAGGATGGATCAACAACCACTCGTGGGTCAGAAGTGTTACAAGTAACTGTAAAACTCTCATTTGTCTCGACTACTCTGTCATTGGTAAGAACCACAGGGAAGTTTTTAGTCAATTGATTGAGTGCAAATGAGACTGTGGTTGAAGTTTGAGACATGTAGTCGTTCGGGCTGAAAGCTGTACCATTGGTAATGCTGCACCTAAACGAAATGAAAAATATATGTTTTTTATTTATCAATTGACACGGTTTTCTTTGTTATTCGCAATGTTTTATCTTTGTTATAACCCTTTCATAGCAATGGTATACACTTAATGTCTGTTCGCGAGGGAAATAGTTTTGTTTTTCCGAGAGTCTCGATGATTCTCGAGGCAAAGCCGAGAAAAATGTTTCTATAGCGTGCTAAACAGTTTGATCAACTGAAAATATATTGCCATTAGTGAAATAAGGACGGAAGGGAAACATTTATGAGGTAGAGAGACTGATAAGTTGCCGTGGTGGATATGCAAGCTAAGAAAATGAGTTATTTCATAGTTTAATTATATAATGCTATATATAATGCATATTATTTCAGCAACTTTAATAAGTTTGGTGTTCTTTGTTACTTAGGAAGAAAATTTGGTTGATGTGAGAATGATAGCCAAGGGCTTTAAGATTTAGAACAATCAGACTTTCGGTTTTTGGAAAGCTGCAAATCGTATTTCGCGCAAATTTTGCCCGGTTTTCTCTCGTTACCAGGCTGGTATCTGTCATATGCTAAGGACGCCTTGAACAATTTATTATTGATATTCGAAGAAATGGCGGAAAGAAGGAAAGTTTTAGTAAAGTTTTCGGGTTTTCTTTTGCGTTGAAAAGTGCTTTAGGATCGTAAACCGAAAGAAATCTTTTGCTCTTTGGAGTTATATTTGGAGAAAGTGTGGACAAAACACTGAACTGTCGGAATGCCATGCATACGAAAGGATTTATTTTGCACAATATCAATGAATACTCTTCGATGGACACAGGTTTGTGCCAAATTTTGCAAAATGGCGGTCATGTTTTGTCTTAATAGTGCTCTTAAACCGAATCAAGAATTGTATTTATTCCTACGAAACAACAGTTATATGACAATTCCATATTGTGTCTTTCAAAATGACATGCATGTGAGATGTTTAAGATCTTGAGCATCGAGAGAAAATAAACAGTTGATAGAAAACCTTCTCAACTGATAAATATAATTCTTAATGGTTAGACCTTCAAGTCTTCTCGGACAAGGACTGTCTCCCAACCCTTCCTAACCTACAGTAAAATGGAGTATGCATAATGAAACAACCTGTTGAATTATCTATTATATTATTTGAAATGCGCTACATGAAAAAAAATCCCATTATTAAACAAGGTGCATTGTGGTCTAGCTTGAGCTAGTCATGCCGTATATGATGGTGTTTGCAGCTAAACCAGGATGCATGTTATTTCGAACTACGAAAACCTGATAGAATTAGTTTATAACTGTGTACGTACGAGATATTATTAGCAGTGACTGCGGTTGCTCCAGTTCTGTCCAGTCTCACAGTAGCAGGACCATTGGCTTCTTTCAACCGCGATCCTTGACATCCAACATTCACTGGAAAACATTATAAAACAAGATATATTAAGGCTTATGAGAAAATACATTTATTCTCATAAAGTGCAAAATGTTTATCACAAAGTTGAATTATTTCATCTTTGATTCTACCTTGACCACTTGCTGTTACTTGCTGTTTTTTTTTGTTTGGTTTGGTTTGGTTTGGTTTGGTTTGGTTTGGTTTGGTTTGGTTTGGTTTTTCCGTTAGATTGTTTTATATAGCAAACTTTCCAATCAAGATTTTAAATCATATTTTTAATTACAATTTTTTCTCATTTGGGCTCCCTGTACTTAAATCAGCGCAGAGGTCGTTCTTGGGTTTGATAGATAAGTTGTTTGACTTTCATGTATTATTGGGTAACTTATAAAGAAAGTTAAATCTTTTGCGACAGGATATTCCTATATCGATATTGAGCAATTAGAATAATTGAAAGGAAAAATGATAATGTATGAATAATAAATATTACATGGTGGCGCGAAAACGGATTTCACAAGCAAAAACTTGAAAACATTGGAAAACTGAAAAAACGTCATCGATATCTTCACTAGTTCGTATGAAAAATACGAGTGGCTTGCGCTTATTTCGTTGCCATTAAAACACAAAATGATATAATGAATATGATCAGTTTGACTTTTCTTTCAGGAAAAAATATATATAAATCCTTGACCAAATAGTCCATTTGTGATAAGTTGAATGTTTTGCAACAGAATAGAGTTATCTTTATTGAATAATAAGAATAATGAAAAGAAAGAATAAAAAAGATAGAAAAAAAGCATAAATATGATGTAAATTTTATTATTTTCATACCATCATCACTTATCAGTTTGACAGTTCTTTCAGATTTTCCAGTCCTAACATTGCTTGAAGACACTCCTGATATCTTAACCTTGAAAGTCTCGTCGTCTTCTATCAGTCTGTCATCCACCAATGTACAGGCTGTTATTGTTCTGTTTGTTTCATTTGCTTCAAATTCGATCAAACGGGGACTTATACCAGTGCAATCTGCACTCTTAGCAGTAGTGTCAAATACGAGTTCCAGACTAAAGGCAATCGAAAATTAATAAAAATCAACAAATAAGCACATTTTACCTTTTTCTACAAGACGGTTGAATATCGACATCACAACACCTTGGACAATTTTTCTCAATCATTACAACCTTAACGTTTAGTCTCGCTTGGATGCAAAGGCACGGTTACCTTTCAAGATGGCGAAGGAAACTGTGAAGGGGACTATTTATACCATGATTAACCTCATTCAATAATTGGATGATGGGAAGATGTGGTGTTAATGATGATGATGATGAAGAGCAAATGTATTGGTAATGATGATGATGATGATGATGATGATGATGATGAAGGGCAGATGTAATGGTAATGATGATGGTAATGATGATGATTTGAAGATGATGTGGTGGCAATGATGATGATGATGATGATAAAGATGATGGGATGATATGATAGTAATGTTGGTGATGATACCCTCATGTTGCTGATTAGGATGACATAATAATGTTAATGACATGGTGATAATAAATAATGATGATGATCATAAGAAGAATGTTGATAATAATCAAATTATGATACCGTAATTTTTGTGATTATGATGATTTAAAGAGCATAAAGAGAAATACAATTACCTGACACTAGAAGCTATTGAAGTTCGACCCTCCCTTCTGATAGTGAGAGTAACATTAGGTGATCCAACACCTTCAGTCACTTGGATCTCACTAACACTCGTCAGAAAAAAGGTATCTGAAAAAAAATCGTGTCATTAGTTGCTTTATGTTTAATCTATTGCTTAAACATATTATTTATTTTTCTTTTTGCCTTTTCTCTATTTTCCGTAATTCATTTAGCGTGCATTTTGTTTATTTCGTAATTACACATAATGTATTGTCAATGAATTCATAAAAACCAAACACTTATAACATTGTATTATCAAAAGTGGAAATCTTTTTTCCTGTCCAAATAAGACTAATTTGGATCGTTTCCATTCGCGTTCTTTCGAGGGRAAAAAATGATTTATGGAATCAGTCTAGTACAGTTGGGGATGATATGAATAATCTGCAATAGGACTACATGTCTGTCCAATTTGGAAATAATTGAATTCAAAAAATTCCTCTGACTGCCAAATTGGACTCAACCTATCGGCCTCTTCCAATTTTGCCAGTCCTCGGAATTTTTTTCATCCAATCATTTCCAAATTGGACAGCATGGAGTCCTATTACCTATACTAATCCAATCAACAGTTTTGATATAGCAAGGTTATAAGAATCGCAGTTAGTAATGCAATTTACATATTWAAAAAAGTCGTCAGACGCTTACTGTCGTTATCCTGAATAGTGACGTCATAATGGGCTGTATCGTTAATTGTGACGGCAGAACTTTCCAAGTAAATCTGAAACGTTTGGATTTCTGTATCTCCTTTATTATCATTGATAATAATAATACCAGCAGTTACCCTGTCTCTATTTACTGTAAAAGCTACATCTTTACATTCTGCAATAATTGATGGGCTGTTTCCTCCTTCGGTTGTTCTACATAATCTGTAGAAACAGAAAAACAATTGCATCTTTAGTGTCCTAGTAACGATAAGACGCTATGAAAAGACTGTTCACATGACCGATCATGAGCAATGGTTTCAAGTCGAGTTTGGGTTTAGTGAATAAAATAATCATATTCAATCTCGACTTCAAGCTATTGTTTCGTAGTCATCCAAGCAAACTCGGGAAATGTCTATGTACACTTGAATACTCACTTAACAGTAGGCGATGTATCCAGGACACCTACACGACAAATTTCGACTGAAAAAGAACCGGCATTTTCGGCGACTTTTTTTGCATAACCACCAGGACAGAAGAATGCGTACGCTGTAAAGAATAAATAGTGTATGTCGTTAATTGAACGAACGCTTTATAAAGTCGCATTTTATTGGCTTAGATTGAGTATTGTGTTGGAAGCAACGGACGTATTTACTGTGTTACCGAAACATACTGCTCCCTGTGTTTCATGATAAAACATGACCCTGTTTAACTAAACAGTTGTCATCATGATGTTGAACGTGCTTTTCGCTATATACTAACCGACCTGCCGGATCGCAGAGAGAACTTATTCGCATTCCTATTGTGATTATGCTGCTACGCAAAAGACAATAAACTGTAAGACAGAGTCTTAGAGGGTATTTTTCGCAGGCCTGTTGCAGTTTCAATGCATACAATATCATATGGTAAAGGAGATATGACCACAGTACAGTCACGAGAGTTTGCCGCTGCTTTTTCTACTGCACAAAAACGAGTGCTTTTATTATCTCCTTGAAAACTAAGAAAAAATGACTTACTGTCGTCGTTTTGAATGGTAACTACAGCATCATCACAAGAGCTATTGATTCGTACTCTTACGTCACGTGTAAAACATCTCACTTTAAAGTTTTCGTTTGCCTCGGGAATAGTATCATTTTTAATGGCAATACTCATTCTYTGTACTTTGTTGCGATTTGTGAAGCTGAAAGCAGAGTTTATTGTTGTATAATCACTTGGTGCTGTTGCACTGTCATCTTTTGTGAAGCATCTTTTGTAAAATAGAAAAAAAATTGTGAGAACAAAGGTCTTTGGTCGCTGGATGTCAATAAGCTGCAAGGCGTTGGCACCACATAATAGTTTGACGCCATGCTGAATGAAAAATGTGGTTACACTATGAAAGCAAAAGTTTTGAATGGAAATTAATCTTACGACAGATGCAATATGATGCTATACATAATCACATGATCATAATCCAATAAAGAAAGGATAAAATGTGGCCATTAATATATTTTCCTTTCGCTTTTTATTTATCTAATGGCATTCCAAAGCTATGCATTTTCTTATGTCTGTTTTTAAACTTATTAGTGGATTTCAACCATCCCCAGTAGAGTCGAAAAAATGGAGCACGGCAGACCGTTGTTTTTGTCGCCTGTAGTTAATTTATCTTTCATGTCGCCAGTAGTTAATCTATTCATCCGATTATCCTCTGACAAATAGAAATTCGGTTGCTAATATCACTGCCGAGCGAGTTTCGAAGGGACGAGAGTGTCACCCGAGCGTTGTAAGTGTCCACGAGCTACTTCTGGACTCACTCGGTGAAGCAGGAGCGCCCGCATTTTTCCTTTACCAGCGGAATAAATTTAGATTACAAGCAACCGCGCCGTCTGCCATGCTTCCTTGAATGAATTGACAAAGACAGGGCATTTGATGTGTTGGTAAAGGAAGCAAGTGAGAAATATTTTCAGCGTTAAAGAACACCATTATGGTCGTCGTGAGAAAGCGTCGTGTTTTTTTTTTTTTTTTTTTTGTTTCTTTTTTACGAAAATATAAAATACTTACTCGATAGAATGGGTATCTCTATTAGCTCGGAATGACCCGGACCTGGCTATTTGGACTGTCGCTGTTCCCGCAGACTCACTGACCTGGGTGTTTTGACAATTAATACTGACTGGAATGGAGACAAAATAGGAATCAATGTTAGAGTCATATCAAAAAATGCGAGTCGCTTAAACAGGACTTCAACTCGAGAAACACTTAATAGATCTCCTTGGCTCGGGCGCTATCGGGCGTAATGTTTTCCCATTTCAGACCACGTGTCATTCCCTAAAGCATCATCTATTTGTTTAACGGTTGCGCACGAGAAGACACATTAATATGGATACGACTCAAACAAAGAATCTTATTCTCAACGGAAAGGCACGTGGTCTGAAATGTGAAACACTACGCCCAAGCAGAGGAGGTATATTACCATTAACAATGTTATCGTCTATATTATTCATATACACATTAAGTCTGCGCGTAACGTTTTCCCACAAGATAGACCACGTGTCTTTTTCTTATGAATTATTTCTTTCTTGAATGAGCCAAAAAGACAAACAGATAGACACACGACACACAGACAGATAGACACACACACACATACACAGACAAATAGACACACAGACAGATAGACAGACAAACAGACAGAATCAAACAGAGAGGAGAAAAGTTGCCCTTTAATTCTTCCTTACCATCATCATCTGCTATGTAGACTCTGTGTCTCGTGTAGTTTGCCTTCCTATTGATTGCAGCATCTTTTCGAATCTCAACGATAATAGTTTCGCGTTTCCCGATTTCGACAAGTTCATCATTGAGTATAAAAAGACTGATATTTTGGGGGGATAAATCATTAGCTGGAAAAGTTACAACCAATGATCCTACTACAAGGTAATCACTATCCTTGGTCGCGGTTCCCTTTAGATCTAAGCTGTATAAAGATAAAAAGGAGACATATACATGGCAAAAAAAATTATATTCTGAATGATTTGTTTATGTTTGTCAGCATATAAATAAGAGAATATGAACTAAAAGAAGGAATCCCGTGCCCCATCATGTGCACACTTTGATGCTATCTTTAGAATCTATTCTAAAAATGTCATCCAATTGTATCATTTATTTGATCGTTTGATTTTCTGCACGTGCATAGTACGCGCGCGCTCTACGCTGTTTGCTAACGTTTTCCTGTGTTTTCTTATGTTCAAATGGTCAAATCTGCCCTCAAGATGACGATGTAGGTCGAAGGCTTTGGAAAATAGATGTAAAAATACTCCAGAAAGTTGAACAGATTACTACTTCAATTTCCTGTCGTATTTGCCAAGCTTTCGACGCGCACATTCATCTTCAGGGCAGAGTCGAAATAACGGAAAAACCCCAAAAACGTAAGCAAACAGCGTAGAGCGCGCGCGTACTATGCGCGTGCAGAAAATCAAAAGATCAAATAAATGATACAATTGGATGACATTAGTAGAAGTAGAAGAAGAAGAAAAAGAAGATGAAGAAGAAGAAGAAGAAGAAGAAGAAG